CAGCAGGCAGCTGGTCCTGGGGTCCCCGAGGAACTGCCACATGTCCTGCTCGCTGCAGCGGCTGAAGAGCTTGGGGTAAACCAAACTGAAGGGGCACAAAATGCAGGCAGTTATGAGCAGAGGTGGGAGCCGGGCAGCCCTCGCACCCACCAGCTTGGAGGGCCACCAACAGACTCAAAGGCACCAACAGACCTTTGAACTGCAGCTTCAAGTGAAGAGCCCACCCAAACCTGACCATCTCACAGGCTTCACCCCATCAGGACAGTGGCAGAGGACACCTCGAAATATTTGCTGCCCAGGGATAGTCCCCTTTCTCCTTCACTCACCCAACACTCGCCGCCATGACGCATCCTCCATCAGCTCTGGGGACAGGACAACGGCAGCCAGTGACATCTTCATCATGAGACATCCCCAGGTTGTGCCCCATCTCGTGAGCCATGGTGGATGCAGCACCAATAGGATTCGTGCTGTGGTCCTGTTGGACAAGAAGTGCAGTGTGGTTCAGACGCTCTCCACAGCATCTCCATGGGGTAAAAGACAAAAGCTGGACTTGGTCTCATGGCCCCATAAGACCTCCAGACTGGGCTCTCAGGGGTGTAAGTGAGCTTAGATATAGCAGCTACCCTGAAACAATGCTTTGTGATAGTTTTGGACAGCCGCAGGTCCCATCGCCAATGACTCCTGCTGCAGCAAAGGATGCCCTACCTGAGGAGCACAGCCAGGATGGCCAAGGAGCAAACACAAACCAAGTCCCAACTTCCTGAGCGGTGGTGGGAGAAGCCCCATGTCCACGGAGCTGCTCTGGGAGGCTCTTCAGGGCTCAGGGACATCAGAGCCCTCCACAGGCACCCAGCTGGGTTTCCACAGCCACCCTTCCACTGCGGCCCTGACACTTCTCTAAGGGTCAGTCACTCAAGGGTTGGAGATGTTGGGGGACAGATCCAGCCCTAAGGCTGCCGAGGGGGAAAGCTGGAGAACAGTGGAGGACAGACTCTGGAAAACACAACACAGGGAGTGCAGACCGTGGGCCAGCTGCTGCCCCCAGAGCACGCCCGGGCTGCAAGACCCACCTGGTTGACACCGCCCGAGTCCCTCGTGCACATCACAAGCTTCTTGGCGAGCCCTACGGTTGTACCGTGGAAGTCTATGCCCCTGTGGGATCGAGATGCCACTGTGGCCGTGTGGCCCAGGTGGCAGCAGGGCTGTGAGGGTGGTGAGGTGGTGGCCCCCCATCCTTACGTGATCAGCTGGGCATTGTCATGCGGCTTCCTCCGCAGAAGCTCTGCCTCCCGCCAGTGCAGGAAGTTGTCCAGTGTCACCTCTGGGTTGGGACTGACCACGATTTTGTCCTTGTGGCTCCACACCTCCAAGCCGATCAAAGCCACCCGCAGGCGAAGAGGCTGATAAAGCTGGGATGGGAGACAGCCCAGAGGGTGCACTTGAATTTGAGCTGCACAAGCAGAGGGAAGGTCCCACCTCCCCTGGGGAACTGCGGCCAAGCCCAGGACCCCACCTCACTGGGCAATATCAGCTCTGTCACTCCCTCAATAAATAATACAAGCTGGGGTGACCACACAGACAGGGTTTACCCCAGGACCTCTGTGCTCCCTCCTGGCTGGGATGCTGCTCCCACACTGACAACAACAGAGTGAGGCTGAAGCAAGGCAAGCAGAAACCCCTCCTTGGTGCACTGTATTCATCACCCTCCCCTCATTGGCACCACTCCAACTTGAGAGTGCCTGAGACGTGCTCCCAGGGCTTATGAGAAGAAATTTCTCACCCCTTCCCTTATGAGAGGCTTGGAGCAACCCGGGCTAGTGGGAGCTGTCCCTGCCTGCAGCAAGGGGTTTGGAACTAGATGATCTTTAAGGTCCTTTGCAATCCAAACCATTCTATGATTCTATGATTCTGTGAGAGAGCTGGGAGGCAGCCGTACCGTGCTCCTGGGACCCAGAGCTGAGCTACTTGTCATGGCCACTTTGCACATTCCGTTGGCCAAGGGAGCTGGTCACCATGTGGCAACCCACCTACGGGCTTGAGATCGGCTCCAGCTCCATCACCCTCCATCAATCTCTGCTCCACTGTGTTCACGCCCATTCTGGCACTGCAGGGCATGTGCTGGGTGGGAGGAGGGCAGATGCAGACCCCTGGGCTCACCTTGTCAACATGGTTCACGATTTCCTTCATGCGGTTCTGCACTGTGCGCAAGTCCTTGTGTTTCCTGAACTACGGGAAGGACACAGAGAGATTTCCAGGCTGGCTTCGACCTCCTTGCTGCAGTGGACGACAGCAAAAACACAGGCACCAGCTCACCCCCTCACCCCACTTACCTCCTCGTTGTCCACAACCAGGACCAGCTCTACAAATCGGGGACCTTTGTGTAACGGAGACAATTTCTGGAAGAGAAGAGGAAAGTGAGCACAAAGAGGGGCTCAACTCTGCAGCTTGCTGAGCCCTGCACTTGGCCGTCCTGTGGAACGTGTTAGATCCTGGGGCATCTTCCAATTTTATTCAAGGCGTGAAGGAGGCTCTGTGGGCCTCATGGACCACATGGGGTAGGAGGATGAGTAGGATGGTAGGAGGATGCTCCTGCTAATGGTGCAGGAGCGGAGGACTTGTTCCCACCAGCAGCTAGGCCACTGGGAACAACCCATGTTTGGGTACCTAACCAACGTGTGGGAGAGGAGCATCTCCAAGAGATGCAGTATGGCCCCACTCCTCTCCTGGACTTTATAGGACCTAGGCTCTTGCAAACTCAGCTACAGGAAGAAACAATGCAATTCCTAACCCAGTGGTAAAGCTTCATGGCTGCAGGAATTTTTGGTTCACGGTCATATTCCAGGGTGGCACCAGCCTCTGGGCACGTGCCGCGCTTCCCCCGCAGGTGAGCTGCTCTGTACACTGCATGCCGGCCAGCTATGTCCTCCTCCAGTGGCTCCAGCAGGAAGGTGGTCTCATTCACCCGGAAAAACCCACTGTCAAGAGAGAGGACAGCATCAGGTTGGGGAGATATCCAGCAGGACACGGACAGACCTTACACGCACTCCCCGCAAGTGTCTGGGATACAAACTATAGCTGCCAAATCCCAGCCAGGAAACCGCCCAACCCCTTCATGTTTCCCATAACTTGGATGAGCTACAGGTCATTAGCAGGACAGGACAGTCAGGCCCTTCTGGCCACATGGATGAAATCAGACTCATGGGACGTGCATGAAGCCCCAGATCGCTGTGCAGAAGTACAGGGTGCAGGAACTCACAGCAATGCCAGGGACTGGACATCTCTTCCCTGCAACCTTGCCTGGCCCAAGGGCACATCAAGGAGTTGCTGCAGGACGGAGCTGACCAGGGGCATGCCAGGAAATGGGGAGCAATAGGAAACTGAATCCTAGAATCATAGAATGGTTTGGGCTGGAAAGGACCTTAAAGATCATTGAGTTCCAACCCCCCTGCCACGGGCAGTGCCACCTCCCACTAGCCCAGGTTGCTCAAAGCTTCATCCAGCCTGGCCCTGAACACCTCCAGGGATGGGGCATCCACAGCTTCTCTGGGCAACCTGGGCCACTGCCTCACCACCTGCACAGGAAAACATTTCTTCCTGATATCTCATCTCAACCTCCCCTCTTTCAGCTTAAAACCATTCCCTCTCATCCTGTCACTCCACCCCCTGATGAAGAGCCACCCCCATCTCTCCTGTAGCCCCCTTTCAGCACTGGAAGGTGCTGTAAGGTCTTCCTGGAGCCTTCTCTTCTCCAGGCTGAACAACCCCAACTCTCTCTGCCTGTCCTCGCACAGGAGGTGCTCCAGCCCTCGGACCATCTTCAAGGCCCGCTCCAGAAATATTCATAGCACTTCCTTTTGGAGGCTGCAGAAGCATCGGCTGAACAAAAGGACTGTAAGGGAGGCTGGAAACTGACTGCTGGGCTGGGAGGGAGCAAACCATGGCACGGCATCGGTTGCTGGTAGCAAGGGGAGTATCCTGTACTTTGGGCAGCAGAAATGTCGCAGTGGTCAGCAAGGAGAAGTGCCCAGCACTGCCAGGCCAGGTTTAACACAGCATTTCTGCTGAGTGTGCGGTGCCCCATGTACCCTGTCTGTATTGTCCTCGTCTCCTCCCCTGCCCTTGCACATCTTGTCCTCCTGCTATACAGGATATGCCATGTATGCACAAGCTGTGCAAGCTAAGGTCGCTGCAGACTCAAGCCCTGCTCTCAAAGTGAGGACCTGGCTGCCACACAGCTCTAGTGGGTGTTTCTCCTGCAAACAGGTGTTTGCAGGTCCCTGGGCTCTCCAGGGACCACCAGTCCTCCTCACACACCCGTCTGCGAGGGACCCCTTCCTCTCTGGCTTACTCTCTTGCAACGTCTTGCTGCCAGCTGCTCTCAAAAGAAAGAAAACAGCAGAGTAGGAATCTTCCATAGCAAACTGAGCAACCTTGCATGGGCCTGGTGGCTTGGGTTACTCTGCAAGGATGCTTTCTGCCATTAAATGAAGGTAGACCCAAGGCAGCTTTTGAGGAACGATCACTAGCACGGCCAGCAGCCAGTGGGGAGAGGGAGACACAGCTGGCCTGATGCACAGAATGCTTTGCTTTTCTTTTGGAAGGGCACATGGAGGAGATGCTGGCAGCCTACAAGCTGGTACATCACCGTGAGCACACCTTTGTGCTGCTGCCTGCAGCACTTGGGGCGAATTTGGTCTAATCTGCCCTGGGAAGAGGACAGATCTGGGACAACCTGTGCCTTGCTGCCCAGGGAAGTCACTCCTGCCCAGACCTCTGGCTACACTCAGGTTTCCAGTCTCATCCCATGCCATGAGTCAGCCCCCAACAAAACCACCAAGCTTAGCTGCAAAATGCTGCATGCTTTTCCTGCTAGGCACCGAGCCAGGGAGGTCAGTGCTCTCACCGGCAGCAGGAAAAGGGATGTCGTCTTTTCTTCCTCAGGGGAAAGCTGAACTCTCCTTCCATCGGCACAGCTCCAGCTGGCCAGGGCTTGGTCACACCAGCTCACTGTGATGTGGCACAGTGCCGTGGCATGCACTAAGGCCAGGCTCAATGCTGTGCTGCAGCAGCCACAGTGCCCCAGGGCAGTCAGAGGTCCTACCTGAGCCCGCTGCAGGTGCTGATGCTCACTGCTGAGTCGGTGTATCCTCGCACATGGCCCTGATAAAAGCAGTGATCCTGCCACCAAAGGAGAGGAGAGGTGTAAAGGGGGTCTGCACCAGCTGTTGGCATGGCAGGACCCCGCAGGAGTGGGACAACCGCTCTCCCTGGAGCCAGCCCCATACCTGAACATCTGGCTTCTCTGTGATCTCCGTGCCGTTGGCTGAATAGTGTGTCTGGGTGTAGTGCTGCCCCAGCAGCTCCCTGTGGGATGGGGAAGGGCTGTCAGGAGTCATCCCACTTTTGGGGAGAGGATGGAAAGCTTTGGGGATGAGATTGGTCAGGTTGCGTATGGTGGGCCCATGACTTCCCCAGGTGGGTTTGGCAAGGAAAGAAAAAATGCAATATTTGGGTAGTGACGGTCTGGTCTGAGGGCTTACATCACTAGGGTGGTGATGCCAGAACTTGGAGAAGGGATGTTGACAGCAAGGGTGGGAAGCAAGCCTCCCCCGGCTGTCCCGCCATGCCCACCCGCACTTACTTGTTCTTCTCCAGCCACAGGAGGTAGTCCTGGCCTTCGGCACGGACGCTGTAGAGGATGCGGTCTGGGTAAATGCTCTGCATGAAAGATAGATGACAGCACAGACTCACTGTCAGCAGGAGCAAGAGCTACAGAGGAGAGGACCCTTTGGCCCCTGTCGTGCCCAGAAAGGGGATGGGGTCTGGAAGGTGGCTGTGGGACGAGGAGCCTGTCTGCTCACCCTGGAGGCATCCAGCAAAGACATGGGAAATCAGAAGAGAAGAAAGCAAGCATGTGTGGGCGATAACACAAATCCCCAGCACATCCTGAGATAAAGAACAGGTCACCAGCAGTGCAACGGAGTCAGCACGTCTGGTTTCCCGTGTCTGACACACGGCTGCAGATGGCCGTCCCAGAAACTGAGGTTTCCTACTCATCGATTACAAAGCTCCTTTTTTGGGAACTGGGTTCAACGCTTACTCACAGGCTGAACCACAAAGATCCCCAGTGCCCAACAGCTCTCATCAGCAGAGGCTTCTTTATCTCTGAGTGATCTAAGATGCAACATCACAGTTAGAGAACAACCTTCTCTTGATTCTCATCTGCTCCTGAGGGTAGATTTTAGTACCACAATGTGCCAGATCCCCCGAGCATCACCCTAGTGCTGGTAGCAGCCACCTCAAGTCCAACCTGTGGTCACTATGGGGTGGTCAGGGTGGCTGTGGCTCAGCCCAGCCGAGCCCTGAACCCCCAGGATGGAGACATCCCTCCAGAAGAATTGTTTCCCTCTGGGATGTCTCATCATCTCCATCTGCAATACAGAGCTCCAGAGGTCCCATCCCACCAGGGCCATTGAGAGAGACGATGGTCCCTTGTGTGGTGCCCCATACCAGGCTGTGCCCTTGGCTCCAGGGACCTCCTTCGTCACCACTGCACCACAGATACTGATGTGCTGAGGGCACATCCTCAGCAATTACAGGATCCTGGGGCAGAGAGTTGAGCAAAAGACAATGCTAGCATCTCCTGTGGGGCCAGCATTCCTCCCAGATGAGATGTGCAGCCTCTCCCTGGGGGACGATGACGGCTCCTGCTGTCATACCACAGCTCAGCACTCCCGGGGTGATGATCCACAACCTGGCAGGAGCTGGGGCGGAGCAGAATGTCCTGCTGACTCAGCACCAGCGGGGCCAGGGTTTGCCCGTCAGTCTGTTGCCCTCAGTTCTACCCATTTTGCAGTTTCAGTCTGAAGCAACCGGCTGCCAGGCACGAAGCATCCTCTCCGCATGCCGAGCAGGTCGCAACAAGCCTGCTGGGCAGCCCCAGCTGCAGGCAGGCGCACGCTCATGGGTCTCCAGCAAATTCTTCTCTTATGAACAGCATCTCCTGCCTGACGTGGCCGTCCTGTCCCATGTCCATCAACAAAGCGATGCTTTGTTATTGTTGGCAGCGCCAGAGCCAGAAGAGGTTTTAAGAAATGGCAGGAAAACACTTGTAAGGGGGGTGGTGGGTCAGGACCGTCAGAGTATTGATTTACTTAAAAAAAAAAAAAAAAAAGTCCTGATAAAGCTTCTTTGAATCATCCAGACGGGGAGGCTGCGAAAGCGCATGCAGCCTAGCCCTGCCCTGCCCGAGCCCTGCTAACCCCGTGACCGTGCTGAGCAAGCAAAGTAGAGCCGTGGCCACGGCTCACAAACAGGAGGGATATTTTTTTCCCAGGTGGTCTTATTAAGAAACCTAGAGAGCTTGCAGAAAATGGGGATGGGATGCCACCATCCCCCCTCAGCACAAGGGATTTCCTCTGGGGGTGGGAAGAGGCTACAGGTCTCGCTAGGACAGTAGGGATGGGGGTCGTTGCACCATGCCATGTATCAGAGGAGCTGAAGCACAAGAGAGGAGGAAAAGAAGGCGGGTCACTGGGCCACCACCTTCCCTTGCTCCTGCTCCATCCAGACCCACCACTCGCTCTGCAACATCCTGCTGCTTCCTGCAGAGCTGTAGGCTGGGCCAGCAGGAGCTTGACTGTCTCCAGGCAGGCAAAGGACTTGCCTTTGTGCATCACCTGGCTCTAGGACTCGGTGGGGGAGGTCAGCAGGGATGTGCAAGCAAAAACCAGCAGCAACACCGGGTCTTAGACAGACTGGAGACCCCCCTCCCATTCAATACAGCTCTTTGAAACCGTGGAGCCTCGGGATGAGAGAGAGATGTCACTTCTGCAGTCAAGAGCACAGAACAATAAATATTTCTGATTACCTTTCTTGCTCTTTTTTCAGGTCCTGTTCCATGAAGAACCCAGGTTTGCCACATGCCCTGTCGTGCCTCTGCTAAGAAGACCACAGCCCGTGGGAAGGCTGGCATCCCAGGAGACCCTGAGCTGCAGGACCCAGGTCTCCACCCTGCCTGTGTTTTGATTTAAGCAAAGCTGGTCTGCTTCAAACCTCACCTGGCAGATGCTCTGCTGGACCAACCCCACATGGACAGCGGGACTGAGTGCACCCTCAGCAAGTTTGCCAACGACACCAAGCTGTGTGGTGCCGTCGACACCCTGGAGGGAAGGGATGGCATCCAGAGGGACCATCACAGGCTGGAGGAGTGGGCTCATGCCAACCTCATGAAGTTCAACAAGGGCAAGTGCAAGCTCCTGCACGTGGGCTGGGGCAACTCCAAGGCTGGGAGGAGAATGGATTGAGAGTAGCCCTGAGGAGAAGGACTTGGGGTGTTAGTTGATGAGAAGCTCAACATGAGCCGGCAGTGTGTGCTTGCAGCCCAGAAAGCCAACAGGGCTGCATCACCAGCAGTGTGACCAGCAGGTCAAGGGAGGGGATTCTCCGCCTCTGCTCTGCTCTGGTGAGACCCGCCCCCTGCAGTGCTGCATCCAGTTCTGGGGTCCTCAGCACAGGACAGACATGGAGCTGTTGGAGCGGGGCCAGAGGAGGTCAGAGAGATGGTCAGAGGCTGGAGCACTTCCCGTGCGAGGACAGGCTGAGAGAGTTGGAGTTGTTCAGCCTGAAGAAGAGGACAGAAGGCTCTGGGGAGACCTTAGAGC